CGATATTAATCTTAATTATGTTAAAGTACAACGGGTAAAACTCCTAGAATTTTATAAAATTAATTTAAAAATAATTGAATTATTCTAAAAGTTATATAGATATATTATCAAGTTCACTGATTCGATCATTCATTCATGTGCCTTTCTATTTTTCAGTATGGGGTCATGGAGATTGGTAAGTTTTCTTGATTAAGATCAAGAATTGATCAATGTTACGCCACCATTGAAAATCTAGAAGCACTGGACGACCGTTGCGTCCTATTGTGGGACTCCTTAGCGGTGCGCATCTACTACCACTCAATCGGGATTCGAACCCAAGACCTTCGATCTCATACGCGAACGCTTAACCTCTAGACTACTGGGCCGGTATCCAACCATGTGTTTACTAGTGACTAGCTTCGTTAGACAATTCCTGGAGTTCTAGTGAGAAGCCTTTACCAGTGGAGCTACTCTGTGTCAGTTAAAGGAAAATGGGAGATGGTCATGTAGTTCCGCGGATTGGTTGAAGTTAGACAGTTGAGTGACAGCTCAGTCATCTAGAGGTTAATTGTTTGCACGCGAGCTCGATTCCCCTTGATGCGGGATTGTAGATATGCACTTCTGAGGAATCCTATATTAGAAAGAAATGATCATTTAGTACTTACAAGTTTTCACTGGTGGCTTAAAATTGATTGATTCATAATCTTAATCAAAAATTTTCTGTATTTGAAATAAAGTATTTCGGTTCATTTCCATGAATTCTTTAAATTATGTTATTATGATGATAAAATTGAATAATAACGTGAATGAAATCCAAAAATCCAAATATCAGTATAGGGTTGTGGAGATTATTAAGTTATTGAATGAGATATTGAACCGATTGATGTTAAACCACCATTGAAAACGTAGTAGGTTAAGCGTTCGCGCGCAAGACTGAAGGCTCTGGGTTCGAATCCCGTTCGCGGGGTCGTGGATGAGCATCGCTGTGGAGTCCCACAATAGGACGAAACGGTCGTCCAATGCTCCCAGGTTTTCAATGGTGGTCTAACATCAATCACTTTAAGATCTTAATCAATACGAATATCAATAATTATAATTTATGAAATTACAATGAAACCATTGAACAGATAATGAAAGATATACCAACTTTCTTCATTATTATCTATTAATCCATGATTAATCAGAATAGATTGTATTGGAATGATTTATGAAATAGTTGTGTAAAAGAAATATGATTGTAATAAATTATTCTATTAAACAATGAAAGTGATTCATTGTATAATTAAACAAAATGAAGATATTTCAATGTAATAATAGATATGTAATAATTATGCAATTAACATAGAAACTGAATATGAAAGATTATGCAATTAACAATTATAAGGAAGATAATAATATACATGAATATATGTCAAAACACAATGATCAGGTTTGAATTAAGTAATCTCCAAAGAATCTGTTATGTATAGGTTTATTATCTAGCTTCTCTTTGGAACAGTTCGCTTTATACTATAGATCATTTTTATTAAAGTTTCTGGCAGAAATAGATTACCAGAATCGACTAGATGTTCAATAATAGAGATATTGACTAATTTGGATTCACCTTTCCATAACCAAGCTGGATAATTCTCAGATATACATTTGTGAAAAGCTCATTTTGTACAGTCAATTTAACAAGCTCTTAAATACATAGTAAGGTGCCCCAAAGTGCAACCAGATTTGATGATGATTTCTACAGACATCCTGTTGGTATTTCTATGGGGTTCCTACTAAGTTCTCTCTTAACAGTATGTTTCATGGCTAAGCTTGAGAATACTGTTCTTCGATCAACAATTAATGGCTTTCATTTCTACTGGCGATTATGGATGATTCTTTCATTATAAACGATAAGATCAATAATCTTAATAATATATAAAAGTTCAGTATGTCCCATCATATTCATACTGGAGTCAGGATCAGTCTTATTATTTTATTGAAGTGTGTTCCGATAATGTTCTTGAGAAAGTCAGTTAAAAACCTTACGATTATACCATCCATTCTAGAGAAGAAAACATCCTAAAAATACTCGTCCTGAGCTATCAATCACCATCATTTCAAACAAAAATGCATCACTTTTTCAGAAGACCGGAAAGCTTTTTACAATGATCGACTTGAAGATAGAATTGGTGATATATGAAGACACGATCAATGTAGAATTATACAATATCCAACAAATACTTATGGAAAGTGGATCTCCTTTCAAGACCATTGAGGGCAACCTGGAACCAAAATGCGTAATCTAAAAAGCCCTACTGCACGGTAGATTGCGTTCATGAACACTGAGTTCAGGAGAGAAACAACTTCAGAGTCCTTACGCAACCAATTTGCTAAATCCTTGGGGAGCTTTTATTCAGATGAGTTATGAATAGTGTTTCCCAGTAAACGCCTGATGCAAGGATGTATCAAGGACAAACTAGCGTTTTGGGCCACTTCAGTGTATATCTACCACTTTACTTGCCCTTGTGGAACTTGGTTGCAGAAAGTGTGTTCTCTCCTGAGACAAATCTGAAGACTATCGCTCATGGTTAGCGAAAGGAGAGTGTAAATCAATCACACACTTGCATGATTCGAACGTGATTTCTAAAGATTCGTTTGTTAATTTGAATACTGTGGAATATATAACGGATGTCAGTGGTTAGATTTACGACTAAAAACAATATTCTACGACGTGAGATATCAGAAATTCAAAAAAATTAGGGATTAGGAACCATGGCAAAGGATTACGAGGTTCGTAGTGTATAGTTCTACGTCCAGCCCACAAGGGTTATTCTAGCTTCCCGACAGACCAGTTTTTCTTCTTCTTGAGTCACACTTTGACACTGCCATTAATAAGCTTATCACCCTTGACCGTCTTTGAGCGTATGTGTGCTGCACACCCTAATCACCACATACCTGCGGCTTACTTTTCTGTCTATGAATATTGACTCACGTTTGATCAAATCTAGTTGCCTTCTCTGAGTCGTTTCTCTGACTGGATCAACGGGTTTGTTGAATGTACGTATCCAAAACCTATTTTTGTTATTCTCTAATGCGAATTAAGTCGATAATTATATAGGAGGGCAGCTGGGGTCCATATTTCGTTAACACCACCATACATTCAAAGCATAGTCAAATCTACAGACCAGTAAAAGTTCTCAACATTTTAATGCTTTACAAGCATCTATATTTCCATTATCCTATGCATGCTTATACAAGTGTTGTGGACCTTACGTGAACACATAATTGTGTCTCAATAGTACGTTATCCCAAAATGAATTAAAATAATCGTGGAACCACTCTTATCTGGTTGGTTGTTTGGGTAATTTTTGCAACATTTTCTTAATAAAAAATAAGTAATGAAGGTAGTGAAATGTTCTTCAACATTTAAATTTTTCCTGTTTGTAGAAGTAGCAATAGGTTTATCCCTTGTCTTTCATACCTGTTTCAAAATAATCTCTACCACAGAAGAACAAAATATTTGTACGTCCATTTATATTCCTTTTGCAATAAGTTAGCCATCAAGTACGGAAACACGACCATTGTAATTCATCCAATAAAGAATCCACATCCCAGTAACAATAAATCTTTGTCTTGTTACTGAATAGAGAACAGAAGTTTAGTCACTGTAGTACTAGTCTCATAATACGTCATCATGAAGAATATCAAGCGAGCTTTAAAGATGTTTCAGTTAATGTGTATTAAAAAACTGACCTGGAGTTTCCCAATCTCTGGATGATAGTTTTGTAAAGTTTTTCAGCAAAATGAGAATGATTGTAGTCACACTCACTACTTTGTTCAATATAGCATACCACTGTTCTCACTTATATATATCTTTATTTGAAGATGTACTGGCTATAAAAAATGAAATACAATCCCAGCTCTTACGCAACATATCAAACAATGTCTTGCCGGATGATGGAATAAGCAATCACATTCTAGGAATCCACGTGTGAATAACAACCCTGGTTATACTTTCAAATGACGAAATGCGAAGTGACATCATTTACTCCTAACCTATCCTTCTAAGTTAACTTGTCTGTAGGAGGATCCTCATAATCCTAGGAACTGAACTTAGGTTTTTTGATGCATACAAGACTGGCTGATTTAATAAGTTGAGGAAAACCAAAATGCTCAGAACAGGACGTGCAACAGGCCGCGAAGTCATTGATTGTTGGTGTAGGTCGTGCTGTCCTCATTGCCACCACCGGGACCCACCAGATAATCATACCCCCTTATTTAAAGACCTGAAATAATATAGCTAAAAACTGATAACACATGCACATATTACACTACACAGTTCAAGTTAGCGTCTCATTGCAAGATCGGAGGTTATACGGCTTCACCCTAGAATGAATCTAAAACATAAACTCTGCTGTTTAAAGAAATGTAAATAGGTTAACAACATATAACTTAGTCTTCGTAGGTAAGAATTCTAATTCGCGATTCAGATTGGGAACTATATCTTAACTGGTTAACAGGCCCGGAGAAACTTCACAATCGTTTCGACTTGTTAGCAGTATACAAGATACTCCCAGTGTAAAAAAAACTGTTGAATACTCGCTGTCTAGTTTGTTTAAAAGTCTTGATGGAAAAATAAACACTACTTTTGTAGGTTGTACTTTTAGTGGATGGGTATCAGTTTGGGTATTATGGAATACTAAGTAGTGCGGAACAGTTGTTTCGCAGCGTTGTTCCCGTTATGGTATGGGACTCATTAGTAAGCAACTATGATCACACTAATGATAGAACTCTTAACCTCATGTCCAAACTATTGGACCCCTTAGTCTGGAGCCCAATGGTATAGATTTAGGTATTGACTTAATCCATACAGAAATTTGTACTCAGGGATCATTTCCACAGCAAACAAGCTTAGTTACCGCAAAAACGTCACTAGCAGGCAATTTTGATCTACTCAAAATGACTACTTACTGTTCATAATGAAAAATACACTTCACAAAACCCTATGAATAGTACTCTCGTAAGTAACTGAAAAGAAAACGTTTTTAATCAAGGTAAACATTTTTTATTTACAATGTTTTGGTCATTAAAATATGGTTTTTTCTGAAGTTTTAGTACGAACTGAAGCTGAAGGAATAAACCTAATTATTGAGGTTATCACTGAGAGTTTGCGGATCTTTCTGTAAATTACTAAAGGAGTATCTGAATATTTAGATAATGATAGACCAGTAAATTAGAAAAGGGAAGTAGTGAGTGTGAAATAGAATGAACACATAAGCTTTATTGTCATGTTTCTAGTATTCATAGAATAATAAGTTCATAATTATATAAACTACTGAGACACAATGATCGAAACAATCAGTTTTGAATTGACTACATTGAGATTTTTGTTGACGTTGTTAATCATTGTAAAACAAGCATACTGACAATTACAAATTACGCTTGGTGAATCTACCAAAAGAAATTCAACTTTCAGATCGGCTGACTTTCTTGTGTTGATCAATTTCTCCAAATCCTGTTTTAAAGTTGTGAATACTCTAGTTCACAACCTCTAGCAACAGTTCTTGAAAAACTGATCGGTAAAGGAACAAAACGTTATGGAGTACATGAACTATTGTTCATCATTAACTGAGATGTAGATTGGTTGATCACTTGGTAACCGACGTCGACAAATATTTAAACTAGTTGATGGGAATATTTACAAGCATATGATCGTACAGTTAGTTCAGAAACACCCAGAACTTCGTATGTTATAAATGAGCTAAGATGTGTCGAAAATATCGACACTGCTACGTAAACTGAGATTAATGAAAATTATTAACAGTCCAGTAAACTCTACTTTTTGTGTTGGTCCTACGTTTGAATCATGTTTTGTAGATAAGAGTGATAGGTTAACAACCGATAAGTATGAACAAGTATAGCATAACATAAGAGCTTATGAGGCTGTTACAAAAGATTAAACGAAATAAGAAAAAAAACTAGCTAGAATATAAAAGTTTATGTACCAGAAATCGAAGTCAGAGAAAAGTAAACAAACTGATTAGATAGATCATTCATTTATATCGCTGTTTTGCTGAAACTGATACGCAAATGGGAATTTTCTGTTAGCTGACAGTTGTGAAGGTCCTAAAAAGTAGATTAGTGATAAGCATCTTTACAAAAATTGACTTACAATCAAGGCTTGGATAGCCATATCAACGTTTTCCAGTTGAATTAAGGCCATCTTTTTATCTTTCCTGAACAAAGGAACATGGTTATATCAACAGACAACTTACATCATAAACTTAAAGTCCGTAACATGATATCCTTTAGTTTCAAAAATCATTCTAACCTCTTCTTCTGTGATTGCGGAGGGTATATTACTTAAATGCAAAACATGGTTGGGAGCATAAATGTTCGCGAAATTCTTAGAATTCGGCTTTCTAAAACGATGAAGTGGACTATTGGTATAATCTTTAGTAAGTCCGACATCACTATCTTCTTTTGGTAACTGGACAATGTTAAAGCGTGAAACAGCTATTTTTAGAGGTTTTCCATACAATGGTTGTCCATTAAGATGATACAAAGCTACAAAAGTGACAGAATACTAAGACTCGTTATTAAGAGAATACCTGTAAGAGCTTGTTGTGGATCTGAAAATTGCACAAGAGCAGTACTTTTTTTATTGAACATTATTTTGACTCGTGTTACATCACCATAAACACCTGTTGAACAAAAGAATTGAAAATAATTAGAAATATCAGATAAACTACGAAAAAAATATTAAAAATGTGTCGACTGCACTTGGAAATGATAAGTGAGCTGAAGTTGCACTGCCATTTAGGCATGTCAGAAATATAGGGAAATTGATTTTTTTGAGAGAATAAATAAATAAACCTACCGAAGAGTGTGAATAATGCATCTGGATATACTTTCTAGTTCAGAAAACAGTAGGTAGATAAAAGCCAGGTATAAAATTGAAATGTGAGCACGCAAAGCATACGAACAAAATTAGTTTGTATATATGTGAAAATAAATAATGGAACAGACCAAAACGTGGTAAAAATGCATTTTAAGTTTGTGTAGATACCAACATGAATTGGATTGTTGATTTGTACAGCGAAGATAAATTGTACCATTTCACAAGTGAATTAAGCACCATATCACAATGAAGTCGAATTGTAGTCAATCACATTGGAATCAAATGATAGATTTACGGAGAGGAAAAAGGAAAACAAAATAAACGCAGTAAGTTAAAAGCAATTGCGAACCATAGGCTTTATCACAATGAACAAAGCAATAATAACAATAAAGAATAGAATAAGAGTGAATTCAAAACTTCATCAAATAATCTGTAAGGAAATTTAAATGGAAAAAGGAAATCGGAGAAGACTAAAATCTAAGAAGAATAATCAATACGTACCTCCTCATTGAGATTGGAAACTATTAACACAGTACTAGTTCCAGTTTGACCCAAGTTAGGCACAGATTGATTAATCAAGTTTGGCAGAAGCTGTGTTTGGTTTTGTACAGTTGGTAAAGCTGTACGAGGACCTTGTAGAGCTGCAGCATTTAAAACAGTTCCTGGAGTTGGATTGATGGCAGAATTCCCACTTTGCGCAGTTAGAGCCATGAAACTGGCAGTTGCTGCGGCTGCAGCAGGGGTCAATGCAAGACCAGATTGTTGAGCAAGCAACGTTAACTGAATAGCAAGATCGTTGATACCTGACGCTGCAGCTTGCGGGACGGCTGCGAAAGCTGCGGCCGGATTACCTAGTGGTATATTTTGCCCGACAGAAGGTTGAGGAATTGAATTAATGGTTGAATTATTCGTCGATGCAGTTACTCCACCTGGGAGAGCTTGTAAACTGTTTAATTCATCATCCGTTAGAGGTGATACAGTATAATCACGGCATTTATCATTCTCGCGACGAACTTCCAAAGGCCCTCGGGCTTTCCAAAATTCCACTTGAAGAGAACAACAACCCGTATAAATATTTTGACCGTTTAGAAGCTAAAATATGGAATGTGATAGCAAGATTTTTGAAAAGAAAGACAGATGAAAACCAACCTTAAAAATGGTAATGAAACAGTGGAAGATTAAGAAGGTCAAGTGATGTTTAACTAAATTGTGGTCAGCAGTTTTGTAGATGACCATTGATCCACCAATAACTAGCTTGATGAAGTAAATATTAGATAAGAACTGGTTAAGATTGCTGTTACAATTAAGAGTAATTTCGATCGACGGTTCTAAATTTTGCCTGGAGTTTTGAACTAAAGTGAATTGATGTTGTCCTGAGGTTATAGATAAAGATGAAATTTTGCTTAAGGATATTTAAAATGACACTATTAATCAACAATGGCAATAATAGTAATGAAAGTACGAGGAAATGAACTTTTCAAGTGCAACAGTAGTACATACTAATTGAGACAAATTATTTCTTAAGTTGAAGTGAGAAATGAAAATGTTAAGTTGTATGTTAAAATGATTTTTCTTCGTCTAGTCATAGGGAATTGACGAGCAGAGTAATGTAAGGTTCATAAAGAAGCTCAAAAGAAAATTTAGTACTTTGATTTACAAAAAGATCTCAATAAGTTTGCAATTAGTAGAGACTAATAAAGATTGCCAAGATAAGGCAATATTTAATCGTTTAGTTACCGATGGAATCGAGTGAATCGAAGCATTAACTGATAACCAAAATACACAGAAATGGCGACAACTGAATTTAATGAAATATTTTACTTACTAACATAGCAACGAACGCTTGGATATGGTTTTGAAATTCTAACAAGCATCGATATTGGTTGTTACGCAAGAAAATTAAGACACGTAAAATAGTTCCAAACCGATGAAATATCTAGAAAGCTAGACTGGGATGAAGAGGTTACCTTATACAAAATAACGTGGTTGATTTGTTGGCCCATGATATTATCAATGACCACATGCAGTACAGTGTTAGGAACACCTGTCTGAGCACCCGGCAGATCCTGCTGAACAACACGGTTGGCATTCTTAATAGCGTTAACTATTGCATCGTTTTCTGAAATTAGTTCAAGATGGGAATGTGTAGAAAATTGAAAGATTAAGTGTTTCCCGTGTAAAGTTACGGGATACTTTAAATAGTGAGCAACTAGTTGCACAGCTTCCTCCAAAACGTGCATCTCAATGAGTGCTTGATTATTTCTTTTAGAAAGGACCATGTTTTTAAGAAGGCCAAAAGGTATGGCAAAAAGAGCGATCTCGTTTTCAGTTGCATCTGCTGGCATATTTCGTATGTGTATAACACGTGAAGGTGATGCTTCCAACCGGTCGACACGCGACTACAAAAGTGAGCAGTACTTTAAAAGTTTACCTTTTTAGTATCGACTGTTTCGAGGTCCATTGAGAGATGACCGTTGCGATGTAAATTTATGCTTGGTACACTTAAATCTCGCTAGAGAAAAAAAGAGATGGTTAAGTATTATAAGCATACTAGTAAACAAAATATTAGAGGAATGTCATATCTATAACAAATACATAAGAACAACTTACCGCTCTTATTAGCTGCGTGACTTATAAATTTACGGACGGGAAAGAACGATCCAAGGTTCTTAATATACTCTTACCAGGTGTATGAAGCTGTGTGTATCTTACACTAACAACGTTTAAAGATTAATTATTACCGAAAACTCAACACTTAATTTACAAAATATTAGTTACATTCCTAATCACCCAAGCTAGTCCAGTATGTGATTAATTATTTGTTTAAAGTTGTGCCTGTTTGGAAGAACCTTTTAAATTTAAACTGGGTGTTGATATCACTTAGAATCTCCAAAATGAACGGCTACAAAGATGGGTGAACAACACACAACAGTTATATCAAAGGATAGGCGAGACTTTAATTTAGCGACGAGCCAATCAGAAGCGTTTGAGCAATCTCAAGGTCATGGAGCCAAGTTCAACCGGCGATGCCAATATACTATCGGTTCACAGCGGATTTTAGAGAGGAGGTGACTAATGAAAGGTTACAACAGATGGGACGGCAAGACTCTAATTTGGGGACGAACCAATGGGAAGCGTTTGGGCAATTTCAATTATTAGCCAATCAGAAGACAGTATAAAGTAAAAATATATTACAAGTTATGAATTACAGTGGATATTCTTCTTTTACATGATTTAAAAACTTGTTAGGGTTTGATAAAGGCTCAGAAGTTCTGAATTCAAAATGCATATGGTATAGAAACTCGTTTATAGGGTTAGGTTAAGGGAGCTAACATGCGATCGGTTTACATCGGATTTTAGAGAAGAGGTGTTTATTGACAGGCTACAACCCCAACCCTAACCTCTAAAATCCGTTGAAAACTGATCGCATGTTAGCACTCTAACCCTAACCCGATGGACGAGTTTATATACCATATGCATTATGAATTCAAAACCTCTGAACCTTTATCAAACCTTAACAAGTTTTTAAATCATGTAAAAGAATATCCACTCTAATTTATTACTTGTAATATATTTTTACTTTATACTGTCTTTTGATTGGCTAACAATTGTCAAGGTCATTTAAGATTCGTTCAAAGGTCGTCGCTAAGTTAGAGTCTCGCCAAAGGATGTTATTAAGTTTGGAACTCGCAAGATTAGGTTTGGAAATTTAAAGATTAGTTCAAGTATCTATGAAACACGACTACTTCGCAAAACCTAGCCTGTACCTCCTCATGCAGAACGAACCAACTAATATATCTTGATTCTTGATCTTCAGTCAATAATTAGACTATTTGGGTAATGCTCTGAAGCACATGGCGAGTAAACACAGGTAACAAGTCCTCGGCATCTTAAACGATGATGAGACTGGTATCAGCGTGCCAGCTCATACAGTGAATAAGAAAAGTAAGACTTGACATGTCACTAGCTTCGAATGAAGCTAATTTTACAAATCCTTCGGTGAGAATGAAATACTAATAAAACCGGGGTTTAACTTTAGTCACACATATCAAACTACTAGTCTGAACAGGAAACCTGGACTGTGGATACAGTGCTTCCAAACCCTAGTCTGCATACTGGCAAGTGCGTACCGAAAGGTTTACTGAGCATAGGACTTGAGTTACGTATAATCAAATGATTGTAATGGTAAGTGGTACTGTAGCGAGTCCTCCAACTGATTATGCCTTAACACGTAACTCTTCTAGATTGAGGTGGCCATCGACCACAGGTTGCATCAAATCTTTAATTAGTACCCAATTTTACAGTACGGGAGGACTATCCCCCAGGCTCAAGTAGCAGAGGTTAACCTGTTACTCATCCGACTGGCACGTTTTAACCCTGATAGTCAAACGTGTTTGTTGAGATGATCCTATTCACTGAACAGATGGGTTTGTAAGACATCTTGTTTAACAATAATGAGAAGAACTTAGTTGCCTTGTGACCCGTAAACCCTCTGTAATTAATTTACTGATCGACTTTGTGAAGCCCTTTTCTCCCGTTAACCCCTACAGTACAAAAATCTTTATCGTATAATTCACGGACTGATTTTGAAGTCCTGCAGTACTACCACATCCGCACACTACTTAAAGGTAATAATGCATGAACATCCGTAAGTTCTACAGACTTTGTACGCATGTGTGACAAGCTACCACAAAACCGAGTTGTACTTTCTATTACTGGCTGATGCCAAATCACGATACGAGTAGTACAAGCAATTGGATTTTCCATTTAGAGACGAATGCAATGAATAAACAATAGAATATATCTCAGTGGGGAAAAAATTACTTGGAACTTACTTTACGTTTGTTAGGCTAAAAAGAACAAACAAAAGCAATTTAGTACAAGGAAACTACTGGACATATTGCTTTTAAACAGAAGGCAAGCACTCACCATAGATGACGGGCATAGAACACCAAACATGGCGTCTCGGCGCCAGGTGTCATGTATCTCGTACCACCGGAAAAACAAACTACTAACAGCAATTCATATTTCGTTCACTTTCTCCTTGTATTTTGGAATATGAAAATGCTTCATTCGTTGCAATTTTTATTTTGACGTTGGCGCGCTTTACAAACTATAAATCCTTTCCTGGCCTACAGTGTCTTCAGCCATTGGTTTCTAGTTTCATTTCAGGGGTTGTCCCAATCTGAGGGCTGTATTATTTCTGATTATTGTCGGCATCTTGTCCAGCAAACGTTTGGGCATTGTGAACGATTGCTGGATCTTCGATCCCATATAGCGGTAAACAAATCCCCAAAATAAATTGTTCTGAATGTCTTCAAATTTGATGCTGAACTGATTAGTTTTGATTTTCACATCTATCTGCACGCTCCCAGTCATACATCCGCACCAGATCACGAGTAGGTACAACTTGCTACGCATCTCTTACGACCATTAGTCACGCTACATTAAATAGTTTCAGATATATCGATAGCCTTTGAAATATATCTTCAAGCCTCTTCATTTCTGACTTCTGATTTGATTACGTCGACATACTTCGATTATATAGACGTAATGTGCAAAGTCTTTGTAAGCCTCCAAATACCTGTGACATCCTTAGCACTAAAACCGACGTGATATCTTACACCAATTCGTAAAGTGTGTGTTCGTTCCTTATTGGAACATTATATATCATGTTTTATTTTCATTTTTACATATCGTGATATCGTTTTCATGTTTTTGGACATTTTTCCACGCATAGGTATATTCATCATGGAGGAACAGTTTCCTACGTTATTTGAGATTAAGACTCTCTCGATACCTTCATTTCAGCTAGTGCCATTTTAGCCAGATAGTATCTATCCTTGGTTCTGCTGCTCAGAAGCTGACTTCCATGAGCACGGTGTGTCAGACCCACGTCCACAATTCTTTGAAGTAACGAGGGCACTACCGCGCGCTTTTAACAGGTACATCACACGTAGTGTTCTTACTGCCTTACGAAACTTTAAAAAAGGCTATCCTTAAGTGTGGATACCTGACCGATCGATGTAGGTTAGAACAACTCTTCCATAGCCTCGAGTTGCAACATGACCCAGAAACAGAAACGTTCCTGCGAATGCGAGAGGTCATTTGTCCACGAACCTTTGACGAGGGTCTGTTTATACAGTTCTCGTATTGTGAATAATATTTTAGATAATTAGTTACCGAGACGGATTGCACAGATACCTCTGACACTTGATAATTATAAGTAGTATTTCTGACATTTACTTTGACAACGAGGTCGGGGGTTGTACAATAAAGTTTGCCATCGTTATGGTTAAATAACCCAGATTATTCAAATAAGAAGGAAAAGCTGGAGCATTTTTCCATGTCCTTGGTATGGATAGAAATGTGCAATTGCTGGCTTATGGCCCATATAATCTTTTCATAGAACGTCGGACTGAGGCTATAACATAATTAGGATTAAGATAAAATAATCATCCTTCAAAAGTGAATATATTAACGTTCTATCGTTAGTTTAGAAACGATTGAAAACTACTAATGTTTAAAACTCGATACTTCACCGTAATCAGCCGTTTTCTCATAAGAATATAAAAACCCAGGGAAATGATAGAATTCCATTCTAAAAGATCCACTAAATGTTGGAAATAGAGGTACTTCAGCAAACTATACTGTAGTGACATTGGAGAAAGGCAAATCGGTTATTTCAAGGAAGGTTTATTAGTCATGGATTTTTCGAATTGTTTTCTGACCATTACTACAACAGCTCGAACCGAACGGACTTAATTGTATTCACGATATTCATCCTCGAATGTATCCTTAGCTGATAGTCACTGCATCATAGGAAGACCATAAGCCACTCACCAGCAAAGTCCATCCAACTCCGTCCTGGACAATGCTTTCCGGTTGTTTCCATTTGCCATTCATTCTTTTCATATTTGTTTCTAATTCTCGGTGTGGTGTGTTCTTTGGCCTTTCTTTTTTCCGTTTTCTCTTCAAGATTCCAACTTAGCGCATTCCTCGTAATACAGTTAAATGATTTCCTCAATCTACGTCCAAACAACTCACAACGTCTTTTCCTAATTTCCTCTACAGATGGAACCTTGCTTGTTATCTCCATCAGAAGGCTGTTGTTGATGGTATCAGGTCAACGGACAAATGTTTATAAATACTTGTACGTTTTTGATGATGGTTGCGGTAGTTCCCCACGTTCTAGCTCCATACAGTAGAACTTTCTTGACGTTCGTATTGAAGATTTTGACTGATATTGGTTGAAAGTTGTTTTTAGTTCCACATGTTCTTCAATTGTAGGAATGTGGCCCTCGCTTTGACTATTTTTACTTTTACGTCTGCATCCGGCCCTCCTTGTACATCAATGGTGCTTCCCAGGTATGTGAAGGATTCCACATCTTCCAGATTTCTCCATGAAGTGTGATAGGGTTGGCGTTCTCCATGTTGTATTTGAAGACCTTGGTTTTCCCCTTGTGTATGTTGAGACCTACTGATGCAGAGACTGCTGCTACGCTGTCTTCATCTGCATTTGTTCGTGAGTATGGTATAAGAGGGCAAGGTCATCTGCGAAGTTAAAATTGTTTAATTGATTCTGAGCTGTCCATTGTATGTTGTGTTTTCCCTCAGATGTCGTGGTCTTCACAATCCAGTTAAGAACCAGAGGAAAGAGCAAGAGGGAGAGCAGACAGCCCTGTCTGTCTCCAGTCCTTACTTGGAATGCATCTGTCAGTTGTCCTTCATGCCCGACTCTGCACTGTAGTCCGTCGTATGAGTTCCATATGATGTTTTACACAACCGATTTTTCGGCTATGATCCGTAGTGTCGCAATTTGGTCCATGCACGACCGCTCCTTGCGGAATCCAGCCTGTTGTTATCGAAGTTGGGCGTCTACTGCACCTTTCATCCTGTTCAGCAACACCCTGTTGAAAACTTTACCTGGTCCTGACAGTAGTGTGATCCCTCTGTAATTCTCACAGTCGCTAAGATCGTCCTTACCCTTTTATTGTTGACCGATCTTTCTGGTCTACTATATTTCCCTACCAGTTTCTTTGTCGTGTCACGTAGTTGCTCCATATTTCCTTCTCTTGCAGCTTTTTCTGCTATCGTTTCTGAGTCTTCCACATATTTCTGTTTGTCAGCTCTAATACTTCTCTTCACCTCCTTGTTTGCTTCTTTGTATTCAGCTTGTGCCTTGACTTTATTCGGCTGTTGTTAATTGCGGTCTTCTTGTTCTTCTCTTCTTGAATCTTGCGCTTGGACAGGAATTCATTTCTTATGATGGAGCTTCTTGCAGCCCAGAATCTCCTGACACGTCGAAGTTAGTGCTTCTTTGTTCTCTTTTGAGTTGTCCTCCATCGCAGTTTATTCTTCTTTCAGTAGATGCTGTAAGGCTTTGAACCTGTTGTTGAGAGCTATATTGGATTCGCTATGATTGACTGTGGCCTCTCATAGAACTAACCTTTGTCGTCGTCATTGCTATTATTGATGGGTTTATAGCACTGAATAACATTCATTATGATTCTTTACTTCTTTCTTTGGGAGGATGCTTTGATGATCCTGGATTCATGAGATTCCTACCCAATAAGTGCGTTTCGTGCTTGTTTGGACAGTATCAGATTAACACCTTGAGTGTGTGGAGCATTTACGTTTTCGTGACCGGAGTACAGCAGCTCCTCTTCCGTAGCTAACCTCTGTTGTCCAGTTCGAATCAAATGGGTTTCGCTGACTCCGGAAACTGCCAAGCTGTATCTCTGTATATTCGTTGCTATTTGACTGGTCCTCCCGGTATCCCGCATTGTCCGAACGTTCCGTGTTTCTATGTTAATTTTTGCTCTGGTTGTCAGAAGAGGCTTCGGCCTTGTGACTTCCGAGGAATTTCGGCTTTCATCAAGAGGAGTCATAATTCTTCCTTCAACTCGGAGTGCAGAGTTTAAATGGTTAAAATTGTTTATTCTGGTTGGCATTTTCTTTAGCAAGGTTGTTTTCTGTCGGATGCAATCGGCAACCCCACGCCCAGCCATCTTTCTTTAGTCGATCATGGAACCGGCAGTGGCTCTAAAAGAGCTACAGGCGAAGTCTTTAGTGACAAAGCCCATATAAATGAACCTCTAAATAGATCATTGTTTACCTTATCCTCAGAGTGATTGCAAATTTGACAGACGAAACGAGGTCCTCGATGAAAAAAGTTTTTCAATTATTCATAACGTTGCTTACCATACTAGGGAATAGCACTACGTTTGCTGATTCCACATTTCACTGCTTAAAAGTACAGTTTTAGGTAAAAAAAAAGCTGGTAAACAGATTGGCTTGTGCGAATGCTTGCAGTAAAAAGTCCTGCTAAAGTTCGATGTACTTTTGTTTAGACAGAATATTAATTCTACTTTTAAGGTGTTTGATTAGAGTTGACTTGAAGATAGTTTCTTTACTAAATTAATATTGCCACACGGTCCGAACTGGTAATGCAGTAGGCGAAAAGGATTATCACTGTTTTGGCTATCTATCGTTAGGCTCGCAGCTGCTTGATGTCAGCATCGTGACTTGTTGCAATTTATGATTCAGGATACTTAACAACAGTAATAATAGATTTCCAATAGAACAGGTACAGGCCATCTTTACAGCCATGATAATTTACAACACTGGTTTACAAATATGTTGCTTCTAAAGCAGGGTTGTTAAATAAACAAAATCAATGAAAATAAAAAGCAGTACATTCTGCAGATTTACCAGTGAGTTAATATCTAGGTTTTAATGTTAGTAATGTACTATGAGCACGATTTTTATGATGCTTCAAAAGTGACATTACGCTCAAGTTCTGACCTTTAGAAACGCACATTGGGTACAAATTCGAAATCCGTGTATTCGAATTTATGCAATATAACTGATTAAGAAGTTTGTAGTTGTTATAAAATAAATAAAAAGGGCACATGGTATGCATTGCTGCATCGAAATACTCGTTCATTAAGTTTGCCGGA